ATATATATATATATACATACATATGTGGAAATTATGAATAGAAAATATTGTGAACGTTGAATAAACAAAAGATTAAAACAAAGGTGTGACGACACAGTGTAGACGAAAGATTTCAAGTAAAATTACTTTAAGAAAGTAACTTACTTTCATCGATCATGGTGTTTCCTTGCGTAATTAGTTGGTACGAGTAACGAGAGTGTAAAAAATAAGTGGGAGGGGGGATGGGGGGGGGGTTAAGGGGAGATGGAAGAAACTTGTTAAATGAAGGATAACGTCTATGAGAAGTTTACACAGTTAATTTAACGCTAAGGAAGATGATCGGGATGAATAGTAGAGTAGTTTCGTGTTTCTATCCATGCTTCAACGATTATTCCTCTGTAAAAGGTAAAACCGAAGGGGGGAAGGGAAGAAGAGAAATGAAAGGGAGGAAGGGAAAGCGAAGGAAATCGTAGCTAGATTATATCGATTCGCTTGGTGAAACACCGAAACGGCAAATCTACTTTTTTGATTGTGAAGAAGGAAAAGTTATTTTACGTTGAATTATTCAAAATTGGCCAATAGTAGTATATGTAACATCGTAGATTCGTAATGGAATGATATTATATATATCTCTCTCTTTCTATCGTAAATAAATCCAAAAAAAATAATTATATTATATCGAAAATAATATAAAAAAAGTAATAAAGTTTTAATGAAAAAGAAAAAAAAAATGAACGATACATCATGGGTTCTGGTAGTCCATGCAAAAATCCCGTACGAATGACTGACCCATATGAGAGTCATGCTACGGTATATATAATAAGAAAAGAATTTATATGAGGCAATAATATATTCAACGTTCAAAGGATGTAATTAAAAAAAGGGGTTAATAAACGAAGCTAATAATTAGTTTTTAAACGAACAATCGTGATATTACATACCGGAATAATTCGTACAGATAAATTTAGAGAATATCGTTTAACAATATATTATATTGCAATAATAAAAATGTAAATGAAAAAAAAAAAAAGAAGAAGAAGAAACAAAAGAAAATGATCTTACCAAGGTGGATAAGCGGCACGTGGTGACGCACCACCAGCTCTGATTTGTTCGTTGACGTAACCACTTCTCGGTACGTTCAAAGCACTTCTTATACCAACACTCGAACCATCCAATGTACCCGGTCCTGGTTTCGGCACGTGACTGCTACAATAAACCTCTTTGTCGTTTATCGTGTGCTGATTGTTGTAATAAGTCTTCAGGGTTAACTTCGTACCACAGATCGCGCACTTAAAACAACCAGAATGGAAGAACGTGAAATCCTTCAAAGGGCCGACCCTGTCGACCTGATAAACCGTCTGGGCGCATCTCAGGCACGTACTCTCGTAGAAATTTGGTCGATACATGATATATATATATATATATCTCTCTCACTCCCTCTCTCTTTTTCTCACTCTCTCACTCACTTGCATATATCTTTTACAATTGAATCGTGAATCCAATTCACGTTTACTACCACTTTCAATCCTCCGAATAGGACCTCGTCACTGCGACCTACACAAATATTTTTTACATCAAATTATTTTATATATATCTAAATAAAAAATAATTTAATTTGTTTTTATATTTTTAAATATATAACAATCTCTCTATCAAACAAACAAACAAACAAAGTTGCCTATTATGATATTAAACTACACTCGTGACGAGATGTTAAAATAATTTAAACGACCAATCGAATCATAACCATCACTAAACACACGCATGATCATAATTCAAAGTATGCGTTACTCGAAATAAATACAGGTTATTACAAAGCGATATAACATTTTACGTAAGAGAAATACGTTCAATGGACGAAGGAATATCATTTCCGGAAGGATTGTATCATCGTATTACGAACCAATGACGAACGTAATAGGAGGAGGAGGAGGAGGAGGAATAAGTTAGATAAAGAGGACGCCGTTCATATTCGCCGACACTTTCCTACCACCCAACACACACACACACACTTACTACTACAACCTTCTTTCTTTTGCAATAGGAATCATCGTCGATAATCTTTTCTCTTCTCCCATTTTCATTATTTTTTCATTTTCGATTATTTCGTAGCTTGGTAGAAATATGCTAAAGTGGGTGGGTGGGTGGTCTACTATTGCAGTAGCACATTACAACACACGTTTTTAATGACCGCGATATGCCAAGAGAATCGAGACCACCAGGATTTTCTATCTCTCTTTCTTTCTTTATTTCTTTCTCAATTCAAATCTTTCCTCACTATTATTATAAACAGTTAACGTTTCATCGTTGTGCCTTTTATTACGCGAAAGCCAATTAATCAATTTCATAAAAGATCAACAACGGTACTTCTACGTATCTGTATAAGTGTGTACACGTATATGTGAATTATCTTTCTATCGAACGGTTAATAAATATATTTTAATGATTAATTACAAATTTAGAAACGAAAAACGGTATTACGTGTTAATGTTAATCCAAATAGAAACAAAATGTAACGAAACATACAGAATCTTTCTCTCTCTCTCTCTCTTGTTCTATCTTTTGTAATTCATCTTCGAATAGGTAGTCGAGAGTGCGACAATAGAAATTACGACACGGTTGACAACCATATAGAGCGAAACTGCAGCAACCAAGCGAAACTCTCTCACGCATCACCGAATCGTATTTTTCCAACGAACCAAACGGACTTCCCGCCCATCTATACGCCATACTTGTCTATTTTTTTTATTCATTTTTATATATGTTTCTTTTACTATCCATCTATCTATCTGTCTATCTGTTCATCTAGCTATCAGTCTCTCTCTCTCTCTCTCTCTCTCTTGTTCTTTCTTTCACGATGCAGTACTAAAACGAGCTTTGAAAACCGAGAACATATCCTCCTCTAACAGTATCAGGACAGAATCCAATTGAAATTGATCCGGCAACCTATTTCCCTTATCGTTAGTTTAAACTCGAGCTTGTCGCGAATACAGTTGCGTCCTCGATTACTATACACGTATAAGTTATATAGTTTAACAACAACAACAAAAAGTGTATAATTATAAATCAATTCAATCTATATAATCCTAGATTTATAATAAAAAATAACTAAAGCTAATGTAAGTTTTGAAAAAATACAAAAAAATTCTATGATCTTATTATACGCGAAATTTAAGATACAGGGATTGGTGGTATGCATCACAACGGTAATGTTAATAAGTAAAATGTAAAAAAGAATATAATTGGCATTAATTCACGTTTATATTTTAGAAAAATAAATTAAAAAAGAAAAAAAATGTAGAGAGAGAGAGAGAGAGAAATAGATAGACGTTTCAGAAAGTTTCTTCTCTCTTCCGAAGAACGAACACGCAAGCTGCTTGCATACCGAAGCGCATCGAGAGAAAGCATTTCTCGTTCGTTATTTTTCGTGAATAAAACGTCGACCGTGTATGCATGTCGCGTCTGTTTCGATGATAATGATCATCCTCCTTTCTTCTCGTTAATCTACTTCGCTACACGCGACTTTTATTCTTATTTGCTTTCTTCTTCTTCTCTCTACTAACCGATTGTTCTCTTGTGTTTATTGTTCCGTTGTTGTTCTTCATAATGCACCCTATCTCTACCTATATGTATATCTATGCACGAATTTATGCACTTTCAATGAACAACGACAATAAAAATTTTGATGCAATTCTTTCTTTTTTTTATTTTTCTACTCTCACAATCATTTTTGATATTTTCTTTTTTATATTGATTAGAATGATTAATAATTTAATGATATTTTCAAGGGAGGGGGGTAATATTAGTATTTTTGCGACACACATTTTGTTATGGTAGATCATATTTTGTTTGAAAATTATTACAAAAATTGATAAACCTAGAACAAATAATTTTTGTTCAGCAAGTTTGATGCACCACCACCCTAAAGGATCATACATTATTCTATTCTATTTTTCTATGTATTTTAATACACCATGATTTTTATAAAATACCATACGCATAATTTGATATATAAAATTGTTATAGTTTTTTTTTTCTTTTAAATCAAATCTCATTCTTTTTTTGTCTCGACACCCGTTCAATTGTATAAGTGGTACGAATTAATTATTATTATTATTATTATTCGGAATAACGCGGAATATCTTAAAGAAAATTGCAACTCGTTGAAATATCATTTATCGTCCGAGTTTATGTATAATTGAATAGGCGAGGCTAAACTTACGGGTGCAGTCGTTCGTGGAAATCCAAAATAATGAGAGAGCAAAAAGAAAAAAAAGAGAAAGAAATAAAGTAAGAGATATACTACTTCCGGAATCTTCGGAATGTCTTGGAATACTCTCTTTAAAATATTCGAATACTTCAGGAAGAAGTAGCAAGACTATTTAAAAATTTGTTTATATCCCTTGAATACAATTTTTGTCTTTTTTTTTTTTCCTAACATCCTAAGACATACTTGAACAAATATTCTCGAATATCATTGGATTTAATTTACATTCATAATTAACATTAATAAATTCATTGAATTTCTATCTCTACGTTACACATAATTTCAATTTTAAAATTGAATTAAAAATTCTATCGCTAATAAGTAAATAAAAAAAAGAGTAATGTACTACCACCCGTCTTCGTTTGTATTTCAAAGAAGAAGAAGAAGAAGAAGAAAATAAAAAAGAAAAGAAATATGAAAGAACAACTTTCTTTCGTAAAATAATCGTCTGCATCATCGTAATCTTCGTCGCGCGTAATTAACCGCAACGATTTTAGGAGAAATCCTTTCCGATAGAATGCCCTCCCGCTTTCTATGATGTAGAACTTCTTTTTACGGAAATAGGGATAAATAACGAAAAAAAAAGAAAAAAAAGCAACAAGGAAGGAGAGAATAATACAATACACACGTCGGGTGGTACCGACGCGAAATCGTACGATCGAAATCGTCGAGGCAAACTTCCTCTTCGTTAAAACTTATGCGAAATGTTCGTTGGTATGAAAACAAAAAAAAAGAAGAAGAAAAAAAGAAAAGGAGGATTTCAAATCGAAATTAGAAATACTAAAAAACACATTTACATATTATATACAGTTATTTATGCATCTCGTTACGACTTTCTTTACAAAATTTTTTAAGATTTGATAAAGATCCTATATGTTTTTTTTTTATTTCGTGAAATCATTTTAGCGATAAAAATAAGAATATTATTTCTGTTTCAAATTTAATTAATTAATTATATTATAGATGAAAAAAAGTGTTATTTCTTTAATATTATTTAATATACTCGCGAACGAGATACTCTATATAAGGAGCTTTCACATTAATTATTCACTTACGGAGCATTCCGATAACGTACGCGAATAAAACATTCGTGATGTTCGAGGTCACCTTTTCCAACTAGCTAGAACTAGGTGTAAGTATGCAAAAAGGTGTATAGTAAGAACATAATAAGTAGTTACTTAGTATACTCGATGCACGCGAACGAGCACGCACGTGCCATCAGAGAGGGTGGGTGGGGAGGAGGAGGTTGAGGAGTCTTTAAGATGAAAGAGAAAATTTTCTTCGAAAAAGAGATCCTGTATGGAGGTCACTTCGTTATGCATTCGTGTAAATATATATATATATGTGTGTGTGCATGTGATTTTTTTAATTTTAAAGCAAGATTTTTTACCTATACGATACTTGTTGTTTTTAATGCTAAACATTAGGAAACAATTTATTATCGGTCAAACTCGTAATTTTAATTTTAATTTATTTTTTGTTAAGCTTAGAACTGTTCAACTTCATTTTTATAAAATTCCATATATTCTCGATAACAAATAAATAAATAAAAATAATATTTCGATATAAAAATTATTAATAATTAATTGATAAAAAATGTGTTGAAAGATAAATAAAACATTCGTGTAACTATCGAGTATAATAAAAAATGTATCAACGGTATCGACACAATAACGAGAACAGGAAGAAAAGAAAAATTAGAATTATTTACGGTGTTACTTAACGCTCGCTAAAATGACCGTTAACATACTCCTCCTCCTCCTCCTCCTCCTCCTCCACCTCCTCCTCCTCATTCTTCGTGAGTTTCTCCTCAATGGAATTCCTTCTTCTCTCGTCGGAGAGAAGGAATTCCAAAAGGAATAGAAAAGATATAAAGAAGAGGGAAACGTTAAGGAAGAAGATAAAGTAGTAGTAGTAGTAGTAGTAGTAGTGGGTGAGGGGGAAAAGGGTCCTCCAGTGTCTTTCCACACACCCTCGCTCACTCATCTCGCACATACACACACACTAACTTCGCGTCTTCTTAACCCGGTTACACAAAAGTGCAAGATTTTCGTTGGAGAAGAATCAACGATCATCATGGGGATTCGAATTCCCGTTTTTGCCGATAGTCTCTCTCTCTCTCTCTCTTTTCTTCTCCTCGACCTTAAAAGACGCGAAGAAAACGCGAGGAGAAACTCTCATTTCGAGGAATCCTCTCTCTTTCCCTCTACCTGAGATCTTTCGAATCGTACGAGTTAAGATCATCCTACGTAAATTCTCTCTTTCTTTTTTCCCCTTATTCACTCACTCACTCACTCACTCACTCACTTACTTACTTACTTACTTGCTTACTTACTTGCTAGTTTACTTACTTACTTACTTACTTACTTACTTACTTACTTACTTACTTACTTAGTGACGAACGTGCTTGCTTGCGAACGCGAAGCAATTGGAGCACGATAAAGGAAAAAAAGAAGGAGGCTACCATCGACGCAAGGTCAGATTCTTCTTCCCACCCCAGCCGATCCCCTCCCACCTCCTCCTCCTCCTCCTTCTTCTCCTCCTCCTCCCCTTCTACCCCCCGCGAGTGAACGCGCGCGCCCGAGAGAGAGAGAGAACACCTCAGCCTACCTCTTTGGTTGCTTGCTTGTTTCCTTTTGCTTGCTTGCTTGCTTTGCTACTCTTGGAGAACGCGAGGAAACAGCAGCAACAGCAGCATCAGCAGCAACACTAAGAACGCTACACGTTCCTTCAAAAATACCTACGCGTTTTCATAATCCTTGCTCGTCCTTTGACCGAACTGTATCCTCTTCTATTACGTGCAACAACATCCTGTGCTTTCTTTTTTCTTTTTTAAAAGGAGAACGAATGAAGATTATTGTTCTTTTTATCTTCTCGTAATGATCGATGCCAATAAAACAACATCGAAATGAACAACACCTTTCCTATTATTATTATTCTTGTTGTTGTTGTTGTTCTTCTTCTTCTGGTTGATTTGTTTCTTCCGGTTAGAGTAGCGATGGTTACGAACGACCGTGCATTGAAATCACCGAACGTTAACGCGTATGTAGTCCAACTGAATATCCAACTATCTCTGGTAACCGCACCGAAATTAATCTCCTCAGTTCGCACCACTTTCTTCCCGCATACCAGCAGTCGTACATGAACAAGTTCGGATTAATGGAAAGCAGGAAGGACGAAAATACGGAAGGTCGAGATAAAAGAGAGCGTGTCCAATACCGGCCAACCAACTAACCAACCAACCAACCAACCAACCAGTCAGTCAATCAGCCAGCCACCTGTCCGGAATCGAAGGCTTTGATCTATCTGGGACAAAGATGCGGTTCGACGTGTTTTCTTAAAGGGCCTCACTTCGTACGTGCGTGCGTAAATTTGCCCTTCTTCGTGAAACTTTTCAACCGTGAATAAAAACTCGTTGTTATACGATCAAAGACAAAAAAAAAAAAAAGAAAAAACGCCGGCAAAAGTAAATCCGAACCGAAAACAAAAAGAAACAAGAATAACAAGAAAATTTGGAAAAGAAAATCAATAATATTTGGAACGATCGCGACAAGTTAAAAGAAGACGATTAAAATTCTTCTAATCGTCCACACCTGCCTTCTTCGACGTACCGAGAAGGTCTGAGGTGAGAGGGACGGCCATTTTGAGGTATCACGGTTAACGCAGGTGGCGCTACGATTCGTGAATCCGTCCTCGGGAGTGGTATGTGTTCCGATCACTCTCAAACAGGCCCTCGTATTGTGAACATCATCTAACACGTTTACCTTTCTCAATGATCTCATTTTCCCCTTTAATTCATCCTTCTTTTCTTTATTCTTTCTTTCCTTCTTTCCTTCCTTCCTGCTTTCCTTTCTATCTATCTACTTACCCATCTACCTTCGCTCGGTTGACGATGAAAGTCAAGAAAAAGTGGATAATCCTCTTACAACTCCTGTTACCTAACCGAACAGATATCATTGAATTTTGACCATGTGTCATAACGTTACAGGAACCCCATTTCTTTCTTCCAGCTATGGTAATCATTGATCATTCTCATCGAGGCTCCAATTAAAAAAAACAGGTATTCGAATGCGTAGGATTCATCAACACCTACCACATCGAGTCTTCCTACGTATAAAACTGGATTACGTAGACACCCACCCACCCATATTCGATGCAAATTGTTGTCTTCCTAATTCTTGTTGGATATGTATTAAGTACTTGTAAATATATATGTTATATATGATTACATGTGTTACATTTTTTTTATTCTACCTTTGAATTCCCATTAGGAGTAAACTCGTTATATTAAAATTATCGATGACGCGTGTTAACGCAAGTTGAAAAGAAAATATATAGATACTCCTAACAACTAACCATAATCATTCTCATGACATTTTCGTAGAACCACAACAGGACGTACTTCTGATCATGACGTTTACGATGCGATCTTTCTCACGAACGTGTGCAACGTTAAATTCTTGCGGTTGAAAACCGAGCCACGATAAAAGCAATTAACAAGAATGATCAGCTATTCTCTCGGTGACTCGAGACACAAGATTATGCGGAATTTTTACTATGAATTCAAATTTATGCAACTGTGATAACAAAAAAACAAATACCATGATTTTTTTTTTTTGTAACGAGATCAATAATCATTAGAATACAATCATCCGTCGAAATAATTAAGAATGAATACATTCGTCGTGACCTAGATATATATATGTGTTTCTAATTAATTCAATTAGTTTCTAGAAAAAAAATAAAACAATACGTGTGTTGAGTTTTATAAAATGTAAATATAATTATACTTTCGACTTAATAGAATTTCAAAAATTAATAAATATAATAAATCCGATTCAATTAATTGCAATTATTATTTTCATTTAATTTTGATCAAATTTATCCCATACAATCTATTTAATTAATTCGATTATCTGAAATATTGCATAAAAGAAAGAAAGAAAAAAAGAAAAACATGACGTGTCCGAAAGCGATCGTTAACCCTAGCGATCATTTAAAGAGACTTGTCTCGTACAATTTCGAATAATAAAAAATAATATGAAAGAAATAAGATAGAAATACGTCATAAAGTTTTTGTCTCAAAGTTTTCGCGTAGCATCGTGATATATTTACGCGAACGGGGAGACTCCGGTAGAAAGGATGGTGGCATCGGTCCAGCAACCACGTTACGGAAATAGATTTCGGCGCTGGTAATGCAACGGGGGCTTTTCTCGTAGGCAAAACGTTAGACAGTCAAGAGGAAGAAGATCAGTAACGCGTCGGCCAGTTATCGAGGAAAATATTATCCCGGGAAGCAACAACAATATTACGCGAACAACACATGAACGTGAGTGTCGATAAACGAGCCCTTAAACAATCAACAACAAAATATCATCAACGATGCTCCAAGTGATTTTTCTTTTTTTTCTTTCGACAAAAATTAAGATCACGCGATTAATATTTTCAATATACAATTTGTGTTTACGTAAGATAACAAGAGGAGAGATCATCTAAGAGAGAGGGGGGGGGGGTCGGGAGGGAAATAGACAAAATTTACTCGATAGATTCGTGAAGTTTTCCACAGAAGTTCGTGTAAATATCCGCGAGAATAGAACGACTCTGCTCTATTTTCGTCCAGTGCATCGTACTGAAGGAAAGAAAGAGAAAGAGAGAGAGAAATTTTCAACGTCAAGCTGCCATACTTTTTGCTAGCATACTTTTGTTGTTTTTCATTATCGTAGAATAAAAAAAAAGAAAGAAGAAATTCGATAGACGTGCAAAGTAATTTTCGAAAGACGTTAAACAAAATTTCATTATCATCGAATAAAAAGGCATTATATATATATATATCGGACAACATTAGCTTGTCTTGTCTAGAATTTGGAATAATTCCAAGTTGCTCGGGGCCTTCAGTAATTTCATCGAGAAAACAATCCTCGTCAAGTTCTTTTTCTATTTTTTTTTTCTCCCCCCCCCCCACCATTCTTCTTCTTCTTCTTCTTCTTTATTTTCGTTCCCTTTTCGTTGCTAATCGAAGTACGGTGAGTCAGAACGCAACGATTTGTTCCATGCCGCATAGTTTTGCAGCAAATTACACGAGAGAATGACGTTCCCATTTAATGTTGAACAATGTGATTGGATAAGTAAAAATTATTATTATTATATAGTAATATAATAAAGAGCCGAGATTTTTGTGAAACACTTATTAGAGACCTATATACGCCGTTTGGCCCGGGCGAAATTTGTTTATAGTCGTTCAAAACAGTATAACTGACGGTGAACAAAAGAGATACCCACCCAACCGTGCCTCAGTTTAGAAAGAAAAGAGAGAAGGAGTAAACGCGTTCTAAAGATACCATCTAATTCGAGAATCTAATTCACGTACATTTGTGTAACGTGTCTTATAATACGAGTGGCACGTTTTCACGATTTAAAAAAAAAAAAAAAAGGAATAAGAAAAGAAACATGTTGATAAATATGTTACGTTATATATCACGATATGAATTACTTGTTTTTAAATAAATTATCGAATCTCATTCATATATGTTATCGTGTAACGCGTATATTATTATAAAACACGTGTCCCAGAATACGTCGACGTGGAATGTTGTGTCGCGAGATGACGACACGTTACGTTTTTATTTTTGGACGCGGAACACGCAGACATTTTTCGTCATTGACCAACGCCTGTAAATATTACAACGAATTATCGAAAAAAAATGGGCGTTCCCTTTTTAACATCCGGTGTTGCAAGAAGGAAGAAGAAGAAGAAGAAGCTATAAAGTTTTCAACATCTATTTTTCTTCTAACGAAATTTGCAGAATCCGGGAGGTGAGAAATGGCGGCCCATGGCCATCTCGAATCCATCCACTCGATTGCGTATGGCACGGACCATGCCCCATTGGGTATTGGTACGTTTTACATAATAAATATTTTTCAACGATATTCGATTGTTAAAACAAAATTGACACTCGACAAAATTATTATTCAATCCATTCAATTGACAATATAATTCCTAATGATTTTAATATTAAAACAAAAAGCACAGAAATGATACGAATCAAATGTTGACGAGATTAATTGTTTTCCCAATAAAAAAAAAAAAAGGCACAACAACAGAAGGACACGGAAGAACAGAAGGAACGAATACCAACCCCACCAAAGATACCACCACCATCCCTTTCCGGAGATTGTGGTGACCCAGATTACGAGATCATCGAATTTCCGATCCGAGGAACACCCCAGAAAACAAATCCAATGTCGAGCAGCAACCTAACTTCCGTTACGAAGCATAGCAAATGTGCTTTGTGCGGTACGGAAAATGTATTTGCGAGATGCGACACCTGTAAAGAAAATTATTGCGAAGCCTGCGACGACATGAATCACAAACATCCCAAGAGAAGGTCCCACGTTAGGAGGAGGATCTTGACCGAGACTGCTGCTAAAAATCGACCACCTTTACCACCGAAAGGTGAAAATCTAGCTGGTCCACCTCCCGTACCACCGCCGAGAAGAAATCGCAAAAGCACTCAGGTAGGCTGCATCCTATCCTGATTCCTTATTATCCTACTAATTACGAGAACGTAATTCCTTTAAAAAAAAGAAGAAAAAGAAAAGAAAAACGACAACTATTTTATTCCATATTATTCCCTTCTTTGTTTATCCTTTATCGATAATTCCACAATTCCAAATCTGCAGATACCTTTAATTAATTATTATAACGACGGATCTATATAATACGTAATCTATAACTCGTATTATTATTATTATTATTATTATTATTGCCAATTTTTACTATACATTGACGAAAAACACGTTCACGTTTTATGATTCGTTTGTCATTACCAAACGTCACACACCGAGGTCACGAAGATTGTTTTATTACCCTCAGATATTTTATTATCGTTGCATTGTTTTACAGATTTTATTGTAACACCCTCGTATTGTTTTTTCTAATACACCATGTTACCGAAACAGATGACTGCCGTATTCACTGAACCCGTTCTCTCTCTCACTCTCTTCTCTCTCTCTCTCTCTCTTTCTTTCTCTTATCACCATTTCCGTTTGAAGGTAACGGCGTGGAAAAGAACTTTAACAAAGTCATCATGATTAAATATTAAATGGAAACAAAAAGAATAGAAAAAACATTTCAACGAAGATACAAATCATTTCGTTGAAACACAGTGAATATGGCAGGTTAGGGTTATAGAACACGGTAACACGATCATATTTCATAAACCATTCTAGTTATCTTTTCCGTACCGTTACTGGTACCTTCCTTGATCTATATCCTTAATCTTCCTACAGGATGATAATTAATACGCAGAAACATATGCCTACATTTGAATTATTTGCAGCAGCATCTGCCCGTCGACCTTTCGTTTCGTACAATGTTTCTCATTTTGTCAGATAAATTCGATTGCAGCATTTCAAAAAAAAAAAAAAAAAGAAAATTAATTCGTAGGAGTCGAGGGGGTTGGGGTTCGCATTTCGTTTAAAATCCTTCTCTCCTGTTGCGTGTGATCAAAACGAAGCGAATTTATTCCAATTCAAATATTTAAAAACAAATAAATATTATATAAAGAAAAAGAGAGAGGAAAAAAAAAAAAAGAAATTGGATTGATATTAGGAAAATGTGAAAATCCACACAAGGGTGTAAGCTATAGTTTCGCGCTTAGGCCAAACTCACGCAGAATCAAGGAGCTACGAATCGATCATTGATCGAGAAAGGTGGAAGTACTACCAAGAGAAGTGATCTTTCCAACACTAGTGGAGGATCATCTACGACAACTAGGGAGACTAATTTTCAAGGATCGAAGATTACACGATCTACGAATAATACAACGATCGAAGGATCGGGATCGAGTACCGACAAGATGTCTACCTTACAGGTATGTTTATTTTTATTTTTATTTGTTTTAATCCTATTCATTATTAGCGATAATATATGGGAACGAATTTCTATGGAATTGTCATATTCCATGACGCCTAACGATAAGGTTTCGTTTAATTAAAATTCGTAATATAGTTTGAAGAGAATAAAAATATTTCAGGAAAGATACAGGAGATATCAGGAAGCAATGAGAGCGCAAGATGCAAATCGAAGAAGACGTACACCTTCGGATGCTTCTTCGAGAGATACTACCAGTCCCAGACCAGTTAGCATTGGTAGTAATAATAGGACACCATCTTTACAACAACAACCATTACCACCACCACCACCACCTCCGAGATCTATGATGCAATCTAGCAGCGTGTGCGATCTATCGGCACCGCATATGTGGAATCTTGGAATGCATCAGGTATGTGTCATTCCAATAGGATAATAAAATACATGGATTTTTATAACGAGCGAGAAATTATAATGATCGAATTTATCATGAAATTTAATTGATATTTAGGCACAATCCATGGCACAATTAAATCCTAGTGGTATGCCAATGATGTGGTATCCAACGAACAATCCTTGGGATGGTTCGATCAGTGGTTCAACTTTGAGTTTAAATCACCCACCACCACCAGCAGCAGCTTTATGGGCATATCCCATGGGATATCATCCATCTCAAATGTTACCGCCCCATTATCCCGGTACTTTATCGAGAGCTCACAGTCCGGCAAGGAGTTTAAAATCACAGAACAGAAGATCAAGACCACCATCACCATCACCCAGTATAAAATCACGAAAGTCTATCGTTTCGAGATCGAGATCGAGAATTTCACCGGGATCACCGTCCGATGCCAGTTCCGAGGATTCCGAGGAATCCGATTTCGACGATAGACTTTCACGTGGATCCAGAACCATCAGAAGAGGTAGCGTTACGAGAAATAACAGGCAGAGAAGTTATCAGGATAACGATACTTCCAGGAGTTTACTGTCTCGATCACGTCGAGAGTGAGTTGTTTGTAATTATGATAGTAATGTTTTAACACTACTGGCTAAAATGATTTGAAATCTTAAACTCTTTGCGACACAGGATTTCAGATGAATAATATAATAGTCCTGTGTTGCATAAACATTTTTCATTGCATTTTAAATAAAACAAAATTGATATGTTTTTTATTAATAAAGGTATCACATAATATAAAAAACAATTAAAAAAATAGTAATAATTTAATGAAATTTGTTATTATAAGGTGGAACTAAAAATGTCTCAGCATACATTACGGTGCATCGGAAAGGTGGGACACTTTTAATTCCACCATGTCTCAAAGAGTTAAATGAATTCATAAAAATAGGATTACAAACGAAAATCAATAACTTTATTAGCAACCAATCCATGTATAAGTTTCGTATCCCCTATCATTTTTATGGAAATTAACAAATGACGTTAACATGGCCGGTAGTGTCAAACGATTGTTTAATTGTATCGAATAATTCCTAAATCTATATATCTATCATCTATTCGTCATCATCATCATTATCGGGTTGAATTTTGTAGGAGGCTAACATCGGAGGATAGGATGACCAGCAACGAGGAACAATGGTCGGAAAATCAATCGAGCAGACGTTATTCCATGTCCTCTCGGGGTTGTTACGAGGATTCTCGTCGTAACACAATAGATTCTCGATTGCGAAAAATTGAAAATGGAAGTTACCGTGATGATCAACGACGCGAATCAAGGCGTACACGTAAAAGTACGGACGAGGAATTGTCCGATAGAAAATCTAATCCGACTGCTACTACAATGGGTAAAACGAGAATCACCAGTTCTTCGGAGGACCATTTCGAAAGATCGGATAAACGTACGACTTTGTTTTACGACGATGACAACGACGACAACGACGAGGAGGAGGAAAATGAAGAGGAAGAGAAGGAGAAGAAAAAGGATGAAATATTATCGAAGAAAAATTCATTTCGTGGAATCAGAGATGACGATTCGAGAAGATCTATCAGTCATAAAACTTCGAGGAGAACTTCGATCGAATCAGATAAACTAAATTTAGGATCTCGTGATTCGTTTACCTTGAAACGTGACACCACCGCGGATTACGAATCTTCTATAAGAAACGAGGAATTAAGAAAAAGGGAAGATAACGTATCAACCAAGAGGAGAACGTCGTCCTCGTCGTCCTTTAAAAGAGAAAACTCGATTGATCAAACGTTAGAAAATGATACGAAAAATATATCAACCCGTGAAATATCCCGAAAAAGGGAAAACGACGATAGGATATCTTCTACGAGGAATAAAAGTTTAGATCAAGGGATCTCTCAAATTAATAGCAACAATAATAATAATAACAATTCGATTGAAATAATCGAGACAAAATCTAACACGGATAACAAGAAGAAATCTCGTGAAAATCGTAAAGGTACCATCGAATTACCTGCCGACGAATGGCCATGCGAGCATTGTACTTTCATTAACAAAATTACTGAAAAAGTTTGCGTGATATGTTGCAAAACAAGAAGCAGTGCATTGCCACCGGACGAAAATGCATCGGAAAATATTGAAACGAATATCGAAGAAATCGAAAGAGTTATCGAAAATGTTGACAAACAACAACAACAACAACGAGTGTCCAGTACAAATGAAGATTCTAATACCGATTTGGAAAAGAAAACAAATCTTTTGAAAATTTCTAATAGCGAGGAAAGTGGTGACAGTGGATCTACTAAAAACAAAGGTAGAACGGGACGAAAAATCAGCTTTTCTTTTGGTACCAAGTTACCCAAATGACATTCGATTAAACGTGTTCTCGTTGTTGAATCAACTCAATCTTTTTTTTTCTTTTTCTCCGCTCGTTGATTTTCGTTAATAATAATTAGACAACCATCCCCTCGTTCGCATCCCCCAACAACCCTACTGTTCGTACGATTCGCGAAAGATTGCAAAATGTTTCTAATTATTTTTTTACCGTTCTTCTTCTAATCAACAATAAACGATTCGATTAATTGTTCCTCATCGTTACATGTGTATCCTTGAATGAATAATAAAGAAGCATGCTAAACTGTTTCTCACGTCTATCGTGGAAAGTCAAATGCGTAAGCGTATTTGAAATTTCACCATATGGATCATCCGTAGAAAAATTATTCTTTATTCTTTATTATTATTATTATTATTATTATTATTATTATTATTATTCATTCAAGTTTACGTTGAATATCAAAATTTTGTTTCAACAACGAATACGCATTTGACTTGTGGATATATTTTCCTTTACTCCAAAAAAACAAAAACAAGAAAATGAATATACAACAAATTATAAAACGAACTAAATTTAGTTAGGAACTTTGTTTTTTTTTTTTTTCAAATCGAATCGCCCAATTGCGAAAGATTTTACATCAACGTTATATCGACATTTAAATTATAAACGAATAATTGAAAATAAAAACAATAAAAAGGGGCTATTTAAAAATAAAATTAAATAATTTTGTCACATATATAGGAATGCAATTCTCGTTCGATTTTGTTACAGATGTAAGCCTGGTGGAAAATACGACAGAAATGATACTCGATGTCAAATTACCGGAAACGACTGCAATGAAATTCGAGAAAAAAGAGGAAAACGAGGAAAGCATAAGAATTCGGACAACATCATCGACCCCAACGTTATCCTTGTCAAAAGGAACAATTACTCCTGAAAATAATGATGAATCTGTCAAACAAATTGGAAAATTATTTAGATCTGATGACAAAATTGAAGAAACTCGTAAAGTATCGACAGGAACTTCTCCGCCACCTCAAAGTATCTCAACTCAAGTAAGCCTAATCGAAAAATGATTGTTCACCGGCATTTTTATTGATATGAGAGAGTCGAATAATTAAAAAAACAAAGAAAAAAAGAAAATACAAAGGAAAATAACGAATTAGTTATTTAGATAAATAAATAAATGTTTTCAGACGTACGATTATCTTCCACGAGGTGGTAGTGGTACGCTTCGTAGATCATTGTCGACTTCCAAAGGATTTTTGTCTTACGAAGATAGCGAGGCAGAGGTAAAAAAATTAGTGCACACGAACACTTTCATCCGTTTTGTTTCTTTTTTTTTCTTCTTATTCCAATTTCTATAGAATTATATTCCAAATCAATTGAATTAAATATGAAAAATCGTTCTCCTAATTGAACGGATGAAAGTTAAACTGGATCAGAATGATCGTTAACCATTTCATTACTAATAACCCCACCCCCATATACGAGTCGTCCTAAATAACTACCGATCCCCATATAAATAAATATATATGGATATAGGAACGAATTTATAGAAAACTAAATACGCGTGCAGTGTAACGAAAGGGTTAACAACAAAATGTAACAAACCTTGTCGACGATCATATAAATATTATTATTATTATTATTCGTGTTATTAAAAAAACGTTACGAAGCATCTGTTACAGGAGGGAAACCGATTTACGAATAGTCCCGATCTTTATCCACGAACGATACAAGAACAATATCTACGTCAAACGATGTCAAGTCAGAGCAGAGATCGAACCCGAAGAAATTCCATCGATTCGAGCCATCTTTATTATCGCTCTAGGGTAAAAAAAAAAACAAAACAAACAAACAAACAAACAAATCCAAGAACAATCGCTAATTGCTTAATTAATGTTGTCGTTATAATTGTGCTAAATAATGATAGTTCTTTTTCTTTTTTTATTTAACCCAACAGTTACTCTAACAATTTTGTGTCCTCGGTGTGAACGTAGGTAGGCAAGGATGATAATAATCTTATTATTCCTTCATTTTATTTTTCATTATTTCTTTGATGTATATACAATATACATATATATATATATATATTTATGTTTGTATACGTAATAAATTAGACACTTTAGCGCAACAGGCATTAATTTTAATTCAATACTTTTCGTTTTGTTTTATAAATAAAATATTTGGAAAAGTAAGGTAACACTGATTAAAGCTTGGCTTAAGCTTTTATTTGATATCAATTACAAAATCATATAATCAAAATAAAATCTAATCTAAAATTGATATGTGTGTATCGATTTAGGAACCAAGCCAACCGAGATACGGTATAGAAACAGCAGGTCCTAGTACGTCATCTCAAGGAGTATCTACGTTGACTCGTCAAGGATTAGAAATAGTCGAACTTTTGCGAGAAGCCGAAAGACAAGGATTTTCAACAGACGATGTACAGGTGGCCTTAACGCAGAATGCATCTAATCCCTTGGAATGGTTAAAAACGCAATGGCCACATTCAATTGAGGCCGTTCAAATCTTGGTAAGCACTCAGGGAAAGGAACAAAGGGAAAATAATATCGGTGTCATATCTGTGAACGAAGCTAAGGATGCATTGAGATCCTGCAAAGGTGACGTTTGGAATGCTGTTACCATTGCTGCTCAACGTAGACAACACAAGGTACATTTAATATTTATACATTTTCATTGATTATTTTCTTATTCTTCTTCTATACAAAAATGTCATTATTTAGACAGCAGAAATTTTAACAAAGGGCAATTTTACGATGGCCGATGTTGTTAAAGCACTCGATAACAACGACGGCATAATAGATGCGGCATTACTCGAATTACAAAAAAATCAATTGAAACCATTTTTAATGAGGATCTGGGGTCCTCCGGTCGGAGTTGAAAACGATGGGGCTGCACCACAAGGAGGTCAGATTTATTTTTTTTCTTCATATATATATATATATACATACATTATTACAGTAAATTCCTGTTAAAAAATTGTCAAGATTAATAATACAAAAATAAAACTATTTATGTTATATAATTAATGTTTTTATTTTTGCACAGATGCGGCAGGKATAGTTGGTGGTGCAACAAGGATTCTCGAACAGATAACCAATGTTACGGATACGGAGGCGAAGAAGCAGGTAATGTCACCAATTATTGACAATTTCGTCGCATTGCAGACCGACTTTACGAAACAGCTGGCGGCGCTAAGACAAATGACTTATAATTGGGAATACGAGAAAGACCCTCTAAACAATACTCGAGGTAATAATTCGGTTGATTTGCTCGGCAGCTCGAACGGCGAAGATCCAATCATCGACGAAATCCTATTACCAAAATCTTTAGACAATATTAATCAAAATTTAATACTAAATGATATTGGATTAACGGATAATACGGATAATAACAAGGACGATGAACGAAATAATCAATTGGATGTTAAAAATGAATCTACGACAAAATTAATAGATGAACCAAAAAATGACAATGATGCAAATGTATTAAATAATAATAATAATACGAGATTAATGAATGATCAAAAATTGGAAATCGTTGAACGGGACAAATCTGATAATGAAAATCTAACGAAAGAAATCATTGTTAGGAATGAATCGTTGAATAAAATAAAACATCTTGATAAAGATGATCGAAATAATAATTCAATTGATATAACGATAGTAAATTCAAGAGAAAACGTAGTAATTTCGAACGAAGAAAAAGAGGAAGAAGATTTCAATTCGGAGAGCAATATTATTACTACTACTGTTACGACTACGGTAATAGAGAAATCTGATGATGAAGATGTTACGAAAGCAAAAATTGATAATAAAGAAATGACGAATGAGAATGAAATATCGATGAGTGAAAATAAAATACCACAACAGTTGGAAGATGGAAAAAGAAACCTCTTATTTCGTAACGAAACTTTGCCGGAGGCTACCAAAAATATTTCTCAAGAACCTTCCTCATCCTCCTCCTCCTCCTCCTCCTCCTCCTCCTCCTCTTCCCTTCGACAAGATAAAAATATCATCGGACAATTGGATTTGAATATAATAAACGAAACGTCCAATTCCGTAATAGAAGAGAATTTACTTAAAAATGAAAATTCTTCTTCTTCGAACGAATTAAATTCGGAAGCAGAAACAAATGTTGTATCCAATAATCAATCTAAAACTATGGAATTATTTGTGTCCGCTTTTAAATCATTGCCAGAACAAATGATTGGTCCCTTAGTAGCGGCTATGAAAATGTTATCACCCAAAGTTTCGATTAATAATACCGATGAAAATGAAAAAAATGATTTAACCAATACATTGGAATCTATTATTGAAAATAAACAAAATGATTTAAGTGTGTCGGACAATAGTAAAGTTAAAAATATCATTACTGGAGGATCATCCGCAAATTATGACGAAGAAAATCAATCGGTAAATAATATTGCATTAGAAAATACTAACGAAATAAAAATAAATAATATTTCCAAATCGACTAAAGAAAATAATAAAAAAGTATCACAGATTGACGAGACCGTTTCATATAATAATGAAATGAAAAATACAATTTCTAAATCCGCGGATGAAAAAAAGGAAAAAACTACATCGATCCGTGAAACAATTATAAATAATAATAATAATAACGAAATCAAAACTACGCATACCGAATCGAACAAAGAAAAGAACAATAATCAATCGATCGATATAAATGTATTAGAAAATAATGATATCAAAAATACGAGTTTCAAATCCACAGACGAAAGGGAAGATAATCGATTAGACAATAACGAAATAAAAATGATTTTAGAATCGACAAATGTAAACGAAAATAAATATATAACGAAATCGAATAACGTAACAGTGAGATTAGAAGAAAAGGATTCTAATGAAGAACAACAGAAGGATTTCCGAGCGGTAGGTACGGATCAAATTGAATCTAATACTGCGCTAACTAACATAGCACAGAACATAGATCAAACTTCGAAACTTAAGGACACAACATCATTAACAAACGCACATTCATTGAATCATGATTTTCAATCGCGAACAATCATCGATAAATACGTGGACATGCATTCCGAAGTTGTTGTTCTAAATGATGATGATGATGATGATGAGAACTCGAATATTGAATTGATCAATCTTGAAAATAATTTTCCAATGATCGAAGAAAATAATAATAATAATAATAAAGAATCGATTAAACTGGAGGATGAACTATCGAATGTAATTTCACGTATAATTAATGAACATTCCAATGATCAATCGCATCTAAATAAAACATCGATGATCGATGAATCAACCATAAACGCAAAATCATTTTCAAAGGATGCTAATAACTCTTCCAATGGTTCCGTCGCATTGTCCCATAACTATCCCATGATCGACTTAACGTTTAACGATAACAAACAGACAGATGCGACGTCTACGAATATTTTGGAAAAACGTATTCGCAACGATAATTATTCTAACGAGAGTAGGAATTTGATCGAATTTAAAGACGAATTGATATTAGACGTACCGATATTAAAACCGACGAAAATATCATCAGACAATTGTGAATCTAATTTGATAGATATTTTTGATATTGAGAAAGAAGATTTGGAGAATGATATTTTTCAAGATTCCAATTCATCCTTTATAGATTTCAATTCTAATCTTGACGAATCGTTCGATTTGTCGTCGGGATTGGAATCGAACTATCTTATAGATTCGAATAATAATAATAATAATAATAATAATAATAATAATGACAATTGTGAAAGTTTGGCTAACGGTTCGTCGTTAAATCAAATCAAATCAAACGCTTCTGACGTTACTACAATAATCGTAGAAAGTAAAATATTAAAAAATATTAATGATAATAATAAATCATGCGATTCGATAAATCGTAAAGATACGAATTACGAAGATGCCGAATTAATTAGCGAAGTTATTTTATCGCCTTTATTAAATGACGTACAAACGGTTCGGGAAATGTTAAAGGATGGAAAACTTTCTTACGATGTAACCCAGCCCCCCTCCTCATCCTCGTCGTTCGTTCAAAATTCTAATTTTAACGAAAATTCTTCGAAAGTATTTTTACAATCGAATATCAACGACGTGTCAGCTGGTATCATCGAAATCAACATATCCGAGTCCCCGATCATTGCTGTCAATGATTGCGCACCGATCAAAGTAATTGACACAAATTTAGATTCATTGAAATCGAATGAAAAAATAATTGATAACATTGTGGAGGATTTAAAGAACGTTATGATTTCCGATAATATCGAATACGTTGATTCGAATGAAATAGAAAGAACAAATTTAATAGAACCCGTTCGTATAAAGGAACGTTCTAAGTCGCCTGTTAAAAAAATCATGAGAAGAAAATCACCCGTTAAGATCGTGAAGAAAAAAAGTGGTACGATTGTACCTAAGAAAGTGTCGACAAAAATCAACGTAATTCCACGAAACAATAATCTCGTGAAAGGTAAAAACGTAGCCGGTGAAACAACGAGGAAAGCAATCTCATCGAAAAGTATCACACAACAACAACAGATCGAACACGCGCATAGATCTAAACAACGATCAAACGAAATTATTAAAAACGATCGTAGCAAGAAATTAGATAAAAATATGTTTAAACCGATGACAACTTTGAATGATAATGAAAAGACAATTAAATCTATCAATGAAAAATCTAACTCATCCAGATTGGATCGATCTTTTAACGAAATAACAAATGGAAAAGACGAAAAAGATCAATGCGTTGATAAAAATAAAACTAAAATCAAATTCGTATCGAAAATTCCCATTTTAACTGCTCAATCGCAAATTCGTACTAAAGAAAATATTCAACGTAAAACAACGTCGAATGATAAACCAATGAAATTAAATCATATCATTTCGGGATCGATACCAACTAAATTACCGATAGCGAGTAAAACTATATTTAAAACTAATTTGAAAGCAACGAATACGTCGAGTGTTGTCAAAAATGTTAATAAGGAAATTGTTGAAAGGTATACAAAATCAATTGAAATTAATCAAACGATGGACAACAACGAGTCGGATAAAAAAATTGAGAGCAACAACAACGACAACGATGATAATGATGATGGTGATGATGAAGTTAATTGTAGAAAGGTGAAAGAAAAATTAGAAAATAAGTTTGAAACATTAGAAATCGAAACTAAAGTGGAACGATCTAATAACAGTGAAAACGGTGATGAATCAGTTTCGAAACACGATCATGATGATGATGATGATGATGATGACGATGAAAAAAATGAAGAAGATGAAACGGAACAAGATATTTCAGATATCGAAGGATCGAGTTCAATTTTCGATAATTCCTCGGAAGAGTCGGAAAATTTTACCGTGCTAATGAGAAAAGTTCCAAAGTCTGATTCGAAGGAAAGTAACTTAGAAGACGAGAGTCTGTTCAACGTAGAAGATCAAATAGAAAAGACATTGCAAGCAATAAGAGCGGAATTATCAAATTACGAGTCTGACGAATTAGAGGAAAGCGAGAATTTGAAAGAGGATAAAATAGATACGAAAAGGAAAACGGAAAATGAAGATTCCTCTTCTCTAAGTGACGAAATATTTGAGGAAGCGATATCTGGTGGAGAGGAATCCATTGATACGACAAATATAACTAAGCTGAATAAAACGGAAATTATTGACAATAATTTATTAAACAAAATTGTGGAAAATACATCGATCGAAGTACTTAACGAAAAAACAATGAAAACTAATGCTAAATCTAAGGAACGGGATAAAGTTTTAAAAACAAATTTAGAAAGTAATTCATCGAAAGATTACGGTGACGATTATAGTACGAGCAAAGTCAATGAAATGAAGAAAAGAAATACGATAAAAGTAATGAAGTTAGAAAAAAAAAAGGATTCGCACGAAATGAATAATACGAAAGACGTGAAAATGATGAAAAATGTTGGAACGTTGCGAGAGGTCGATATAAACGATAAAATGAAAAAAAAGAAAGATAAGGAAAGTCCACGGGACACGAGTGGTAAAAGATTTTCTTTGGTAGCCAGTTGTATTCGTCGATTCGAGGGTGAAGATAAAACCGAAAGGAAACGTAACGAAGTTGAAAATGTCAACAACGCTACGAGAAGAGAGGGATCTCCCAAAACGGAAAGGGAGGTCAGTAAAACGATTAAAAACAACAACAAAAAAACAAAAAACCAAACCAACAAACCAAAAAAAGAACCTGACTATTTAATTATCCTACGATGCTGATAGCCCAATGTCTACAAACATGCTCGAGCTAATTCAAATTAAAACGAAGAGTGGCCTGATTTCATTTATTCACTTTTCTTTTAATTATAGTAATAACTTAGTAATAATAATCTTTCTCTCTCTCTCTATCTCTGTCTCTCCTCTATTATTTTTTAGGGTAGAATTTATTTAGGGTAAGTAAAATTTTCCTTGTAACAAATAATTAACACTTTAACCCTTTCGTATAACTAAATTGACGATGAGTATGTACGAGATAATTTACATAGAACGATACTCGCGTTAAAACGTGCCCTAACGAAAGGGTTAAATGTTATAAGAATAAGGCATCTTATTAAATAGAAAAAAGAAAAAGAAAAAAATCGTATACTAAAAGTATTACACGTACCATCTGACCAACATCTTTCCATACATACGACATTTAAATGTACATATATTCTTTCACGCTTTCAAATGATATTCTACTTTCTTCTATCAAATCGTAATAAACAAATTAATTGAAGGAGCTCGTTTCTAGACGTTGGTGCCGAACATTTTTATCTTGCATGATGGTTTATTACACATTCTTTCGCTACTTACTCACATGTTCTATCACTCGATCATCATTCTGTCATATCAAGCTAACTTTGCTGCATGTTCATTAGAAATTTTAATATATATATATATAGTTGTAAATATTTTTGTGAAATCGATCCTTTATCGAGTAGTCGTTTAACGGAAAATGTGATTTGTAAAAAAAAAAAAGAAAAAGATGAACGTATTAGAAATTTAATTTGATATCATTTATGTTAATTTCGCAGAGAACGGCGCGTAGATTATTAGCCGAGGGACGTGCATCGAATTACGAGGAGGCCGAAGTAGCTGCCAGTTTATTGGCTCTCAAATTTGAAGATGCAGAAGCTATTCATGCTGCCAAGGAATGTGGTAGCGTTGAATCTGCTCTAGCATTCTTACAACAAGAATGCGAACTTTGTACCGGACGTTACGCGATGAGTCTGGTCGGTGTATCAATTAAAATACAATGAATGTTCTAAAAATAATCAAAAAAAAAAATAAAATAAAATATACGTATAAACATTACAGATGATATCCATGTTGAAATGCACGCATCGATGTTGCAACGAGTGCGCGAAAAATTATTTCACCATACAGATAAGCGACAGAAATATCATAGACGCCGTATGTCCGTTTTGCAAAGAACCGAATTTGAGGGATGCGAACGAAGACGATGTTCTAGAATATTTTAGTAATCTAGATATTCAATTGAAATCACTTTTGGATCCCCCAATTCATGAACTTTTTCAAAGAAAATTAAGAGACCGTACTCTAATGCAAGATCCTAATTTTAAATGGTGTATTCAGGTAACGTTCGGCATCATTCAAAATATAGCTATTTTAAAGAAAGATAAATATTTAATCAAGTAAACTATCTTTTAAGTGCTCGAGTGGCTTTTATGCGGATCCGGAACACAAAAGACTCATCTGTCCTGACTGTAGATCTATAACGTGTGCGTTTTGTCGGAAACCCGTATGTAAAAGAAAAACAAATGTTAACATTTAATAGTTGTAACAACTAACGTAACGACTGAATTTATTCACAGTGGGAGAAACAACACGAAGGTATAACTTGCAAACAATTCGCAGCTTGGAAAGATGAAAACGATCCGGACAATCAAGCTGCTGGTTTGGCAAAACACTTGGCCGACAATGGGATTGATTGTCCCAAGTGTAAATTCCGATATTCTTTATCTCGAGGAGGTACAATTTAAAAAAAGAAAAAAAAAAAACAGAAAACAAAAAGATAAAATACATGTTTAGAAAAAATAATTTCAAAAGAGTCTTAGTATATAAAATATTTTTACAGGTTGCATGCATTTCACTTGCAGTCAATGCAAATATGAATTTTGTTGTGGTTGTGGTAAAGCTTTTCTTATGGGTGCTAAATGCTCGACTAGTCCATATTGCGCTAAACTTGGCCTTCATGCACATCATCCTCGCAATTGCCTCTTCTATTTACGCGACAAGGAACCCGCACAATTGCAACAATTACTCAAAGACAATGGCATTAATTATGATACGGAAGGACCGACGGGGGAAAGGAAATGTAAAGTACAATTGCAAAAGGAAACCCCAGGAGGTGTTGTCGATACCATTTGCAATTCGGACGTCGTCGAGGGACAAGCTGGTTTATGCAGGTTGAACATTTGCTTCACGTTCATTTTAACAATCACTCATTAAATATTACATTTTAAAAATTAATCATAAAGGTGAAAGAAAAGAATTAGATAAATTTAAGCGACGCAAGGAGAGCATTCGAAAAAAAATAAATCTATGTTTCCTGCGAATCTCCCGATCCTAAAAATAATCCTTAATTAATTAATAATCTAATCCTAAGATACTAACAAATTCTCCAATATATTCAGGATCCATTACGTCGAGTATCTCGTTCGAAAGATACGTTCGATGCAGCTAGAACCTCTTCCACTGTTGAATGTTGACGATCTCGAGACTTGCGTTAAACGAAGCGGCTTAAAGCTACCTCCAAATTGGTACGGGCGTGACCCAGAAAACTACAAGAATGATCTGAAGGAGGTAAAAAGAAAAAAGTGTACAAGATACGACTAACATCTGGGTACTTTTCCCCGCAGGCAGCACTACATTGAATACTTGGCGGGCCTGGTACTCAAAAACAAGCTGGACCCTGTTGCCATCTTTGACTTGAACGACGCCAAGCAAGAGTTGCGCCGACGGGGAAAAGTTCCCCCTGCGAAGGACCAGGAAATGTCCGAACAGGATTATCTCCAGGCGTGTATTCAGGTGACTAACAATATTCCTATCCTTTCCTTTCGTCTTAATCCTTCCATTGAAATTAATCTATTGTAAATAAAGAACACATAGATATTATACTTAAATTAATATACTAAAAATCAAACTAACTTTACTTTTTTAATCATCAAAGATAAGCTTATATGCTTTCGCATATACTTTTCTTTTTATATTTATTTATTTATTACATTAATCTTTCATATTAAAGTTGTCCATACCACATGGATGTATTACTATTTTACAGATTGTACAAAAGGAAATTCCACTGGAATAATAGGAAATAAAGATGCGAAAGAACCTTCAAGATTCTAGAGAATATCTAACTTCTACGTACTTTAATGAAGTCATTATTATTTACATATTTTATCAGCCGCATGTAGGAAGTAATGCAATACTCAATAAATTACTATACATATAGGCATAAGCCGTCGTTTAGTGCAATAGGATGAGAAAAGATTTTTCATTTCTTTTATGAAAGTTCTTTTAAAAAATTTGTTAAACTCTTTCTATTAGGTGGTGTCATACCTTGATTTACTATATCTTTCAATTTATTTATATTCAATTTCTTTAATTTCGGTTTATTTAAATTCATTTTAGATTGATTTGTTTTATTCGTTACAGGAGTTTTTTGACTTTCGCTAGATTGTAATTTTGAAGTTAAATTTCCAGAAATATTTAATCCAACCGTTTTATCTTTTCCTTTTCTCTTCTTTTTTTTCTGTTGAATATTGGATTTCTCTAACGCATTGTCAGAAGTCTTAACTATTCTTTTCGGTTTAGTAAATCTAACTTCAGTGCAACGCAAACATGCAAAACATCTTATAGACATTTTATTCATTTCATTCTTTTTGCATTTTTTAATTAATTTAGCTTGTAGTTTGGATATCTTATTCTCATCGGTATTAGTTTTAATCATCTTACCAACAGAGCGGGACATTTTTTTACCAGGTAATATTCTCACTTGATGATTCGTAGTAGCCCAAAGTGAGCCGCAATGAGAGCACATCGTTGAAGGGCCAAAACATAATTTTGGTAATTCAACTTCGTTAGCTAAATTTCTACAACGTTCTCTAAAAGTATTCAATTTGAATTAATTTAATTGTAATCCTAAATAATGAAGAAAAGGTTATGTTTATACTTACATATAATGGTTCTGTAATTTATTCGCTTCTGGACATTGGAATTTTGTCAAATATTGAGTTACATTCCACAAGTGTTCAATCTTTTCCATAATGATTGTTTTAACACTTAATTAAAATTTTAATCGAAAATTTAACACATAACTGATAAACACGAAGAAACTCGTAGACGCACATGAATGTAACCTCAAACACGTGCGAAGGCAGTGGCCAGTGACTACGAAAGAATCCATCAGATGGCAGTGGAATTTTGAAAAAGGTTACAGAACAAAGTATATTTTTATTTTCTTACCATATCTCTGTTAATTTTATAATGAAAAATTATAATGAAAATAGTAGTAACAATTTTTAAACTACAAATAGATATATATATCGAGTTCATGTATGCTCATAAATCTATATATATATATATACAATATAAACTTGTAAAAATATAATAGAAAATGTTTCTTTTGCTTATTATTTTCATGAATGTAGAAAATATACATATGGAGTAAAATACGATTTCCCATATATTATAATTGACTATCAATAACAACTTTAACTTATTTCTTTTTTTTAAGCTTTCCTTGACTTAATATTATGCACTGAAAAATGTATATTTCTATATAAATGATAACGTTAATAAACCAAACATTTTACCTCATTAAATGAATTCTGAAATCTTTTTGCATAAAAATCTATAAATGTAATATATATATATATATAAATGAACACATCTCATGTGACCAAGCCAATTCATTATCATGACTATCAATGGAGAACAAATTATCGTAATAACTTCGTATAGCATACATTATACGAAGTTATACGACGATCTTTATCCACGAACGATACAAGAACAATATCTACGTCAAACGATGTCAAGTCAGAGCAGAGATCGAACCCGAAGAAATTCCATCGATTCGAGCCATCTTTATTATCGCTCTAGGGTAAAAAAAAAA